AAATTTGTTTGTCTCATGTCTCCTCATTGCCCCTCCGCTGCCTTGCGGGATCCCGAGCCGAGAAGCCGGCGCTAGCAGCAAGCGTGTGCAGCTGTCGGGTGTGGGGGGAGGCGCCAGGTGAGCCGCAGCTGGATGCTAGCGCTTAATAGCAGCGTATTCGCAGGTGAGGTCGGCTTCAGGCTCCGCTCTCCGGGGGGGAGGCTGCAGCTGGATGGCCGAGTAGTGGACCTCGTCCGGGTCACCCTAGGGTGAAAAACAATAATGACAGCGCCCGGCTCTGACGGGAGCTCTACATCAGCAGAGCGCAAGGCACGGCTGGGGAAACTGAGGCACCAGGCGGGGAAGTGACTTGGCCAAGGTCACCCAGCAGGCAGGTGGAATAGCCAGGAAGAGAACCCAGGTGTCCTGTGTCTCAGGCCAGTGCTCTATCCACTAGGCAACGCTGTCTCCTAAATACAACTCCTCCCCCGCCCCAATTTTAGCCTTGATGATCATCACAGCACCTGGCATTCTGGAGACCCCTTATATCTACACAAAACACACTGGCTAAGGGTCTCACCTCCATAGTGGGAGACACACAGGTAGGATAACAGTCCTACCACTGCTGGTGGCTAATGGAGCAACTCCTTCAGCTCCCCCTTGGGGATAACAGCTCTGCTACTCCTGCCATCTAATGGAGCTACTCCATCAGCTCAAGGTAATGCTGCTACTGAGTCACCAGCAGTTGGATCAGAGCTGGGGCCCCCTACAGGGGAAAGGCCCCAGGCCCCATTCCCTGCCCCAGCCAGTGAATGAAATATTTCTGCAAACACCAGCTGCCCAGAGCTTGTCCCGCTGCCCCAGGTGATACAGAACCTCCCTCCGGGGCGCTCTCCTCTTCATGTCACCCCCCCCAGCCCTGTAACTCAGCCTCCCGCCACCTCTGTGCCCGCCAGCTGCTGGGCGATGCCCCCTCCCCTGCCCAGCAGCTGTGCTCGCCCTGACCCAGAGCACCCAGCCCAGCCTGATCTCGATGCCACTGGGAGCTGATCTCACAGGGGCAGAGCTGGGATAGAGCCCAGGAGTCCTGGCTCCCAGCCTCTGACCCCTCCCCCGGCTCTAACCCACTAGACCCCACTCGCCTCCCAGAGCCAGGGATAGAACCCAGGAGTCCTGGCTCCCAGCCTCTGACCCCTCCCCCGGCTCTAACCCACTAGACCCCACTCGCCTCCCAGAGTCAGGAATAGAACCCAGGAGTCCTGGGCCTCGTATACACAGAGGAATGAGTCACTCACCTGCGGTAATTTGCCCATGTTCAGCGGCTGGCTGTAGATGTAGGATTGCCTGGTGCTGGCCGGAGAGCCCGGGCACACCTCGGTGGGGGCGCTGCCATGGAAAGAGAGACCGTTAGGGGGCTGGGGATGGCGCGAGGGCATTTGGTCGCTAGCGCTGGGTCGGCTGCAGCGCCGTGGCTGGGGATTGGACAGGCTGCGTCGGTCACAGCGTAGAACCCCTGTGGGTCAGTGGCTGGGGGGGGGCCTCTGGGCTAAAGCTCCCAGACCAGACATGAGTCATGGCTTTGGGGAATGGGGAATGGGGCCTTTCCTCTCTAGGGGGCACTGGCTCCAATCCAGCCCCAGAGCGGGGGACTGGCTGGCTTGGGGATGGGGGCAGGGAAGGGGGCACAGGGCCTTTCCCTTCTAGAGCAGTGGTCCCCAAACTGTGGGACGCACCACCCTAGGAGGGAATTTAGGAACTTTTGGGGCAGTGTGGCAGGGCCAGCCCCCATGGGGGGCAGGGAGGGAGCCGCAGCCAGCCCCCCTCTGCCCCAGCCCCAGCTCCAGCCCTGGCCTTGACCCCAGCTCCTGACCGCGGCTCTGGCCCCGCTCCCGGCAGGGGTGGGGGTGGGGCGCAGACAGATTCCATTATGGGTCAGGGAGGGAGCGACAAAAAACATTTGTGGACCCCTGTCTAGGGAGTGCTGGCTCTGATCCAGCCCCCACCCTGAACACGTCTCATCCCTCCAGCAGGGGGCGCCAGCGACAGACAGAAAGACACACACACACACACACACACACACGCACACAGGCTGACCTACACCCCAGGCAGAGGCGTCTCAAGCTCCCGTTGGCGACATTCCCCCAATGTGTGGGCACCGCCCCACACCCAGCCCCTGCACAGTAGCTCACAGCCAGGCTCTGCTGTTACCTGGGGGGCCCGGGTGGGGCCAGGCGGGCTGGCTTCCCCATTCCATGGTGCTGGGTGTTCTCATAGATGCGATCAGACATCGGGGTCTCCCCCGGGCCCGGCGGGTGCTGCAAGACAGGCAGAAGTGAGGCCGCGAGCCACTGCTCTGGGACTGCTCGGTGATGTGTAATAACAAAGGAAAATGAACATAGCCCCTCCCCCCCGATAAACTACCCAGGGGATTGGAAAGACCTTCTGTCCTGCTCGGAGGGGGGGCGGGGGGGTTTTATAATCCTGTTCTCTGGAGGGGTAAACTGAGGGCCAGAGCTCATCTAAATTCATGCAGCGAGTCAGCAGCAGAGCTAGGGAGAGAACCCAGGCGTCCTCGCTCCCAGCCCCAACGGCGCTCTTACCGGTTTGCTGCAAATTCTCTAGCTGAGTCTCTCACTCATCTTCCAGATAAA